TCCAGCTGTTTAATGAGAATTTAAATAAATAAATACAGTGAGATTCCACTTATTATCTTTATACTCTAATTTAAATGATCACTGTAGGTACACTTTTAGTCTGGTTTTCACTCTTTCGCAACTAGAGAGTACACTCCGGAGTCGCTTCTATGCCTATTAATCGTTTATAAACAAAACAAGATATTCTGAGATTACAAACCTTCGCACTTCTGTCTCGCTATATCTTTATATCTGCTGATTGTTGTTGTTGTATTATAGGGGTATAACTTTACTGGCTATATGTATCAAGTGAAATGAGGTCGAGCAGTATAGATGCACATTTTGTGTTTAAAGATAATCGAACGTATGGGATTCAAATCTCACTCTTGTTTTTTTTTCTTTCTTCTTGTTTTTTTTTCTGCATATATATTAAAAATTAAAAATAAATATGAAGGCTGATGATGTTATTAATGTTCTGCCAGGTTTACTTTCATATCTCACAGTCTCTTCATGAATAATTCGATGTTCTTGAATTACGTGAAAAACAAACTCTTCTCTACACCGCTGTTTTTGGATTGCCCTTACGTTAATGGCTGAGATTAATATTGTTTTCCTACAATCTACGAGATATCTCATCCTACAGGCACTATTATCAGACTTAAAATTGGGTTTAGGCAAGACGTCATTTGATCTTTGCAGATCAGTGTCTCCACCAGGAAAAGCTAAGTTAGGGAAATGTTGTTTAGGTTTGCTATCGTAGTTTTTCTATTGCTGAATATAACTGCGGGCGCAGCTCCTACAGGTAGGTTTGATGCTAGAATCATTCTGACATCGACATCACCTATTCTCAAGCAACTTGGCTCCCGGTGAATTCATGAGTTACTTTTAGGACTCTTCTTACTGCATATAGTCTTTTATGGTTTAGCCCTAACTAATGTGTCCATTTTTATCAAAATTATTCAACCTAATCTGAAAAACATTATTGTTGGCACCCTGTATTGAGCTCCCTCCCTTGATTCTACGAAATGTATTGATCAGTTTGACAGTGTTATGCCTATGTTCTTGGTGACTTCAACATAGATATCCTTAAATATGAATCTAGCAAAGATGCCCATTACTTCGTAAATTCCTTCTTTAGTTATCCTTATCTCCCTCTTATCCATAGACCATCCCGTATTACAAATACCTCTGTTAGCCTGCTTGACAATATTATTACCAATATGTTTGATTGCCCTAACTTTAGTGGTTTACTCTACAGTGACATAAGTGATCATCTCCCTGTTTTTAATATACCCTATCTATTCAATATTCCTCACCCACCTAATGACGCAGTTGGCTCAGATAGGGAAGCAATACCAAGATTTAGAAATATTATTCCCTCAACCTTTCCGACAACAAATTTGTAACTAACAGTGGTCTGAAGTCCTTGATGTACATGACCCTGACGAAGCCTACAATAATTTTGAAATCATATTCAAAAATCTTTATGAAGAACATTTTCCATTCAAAAATGTAAAAAAAAAATCTCATAAACTAAAACCATGGATGTCTGACGGCCTTCTTAACTCTATTAAATATAAGCAAAGACTTTACGCAAACTTTGTTCATTGCCCATCTAACAAAAATGAAACCAATTACAAACACTTTCGCAACGAATTAAATTCACCAAAGCTAGCCACTTCAAAAATTTATTCCTTAAACACAAAATGATATCAAGTCTACCTTGAATACTATAAATCTGCTGATAAAAAATCCCCCAATAATCAAAGAAATCCCTATTTCAATTGTAATAGCGAACAAACTAAGGATCCCGCCACAATTGCATCTGCATTTAATGACTACTTCGTTGAAATTGGACCTTCTTTAGCTAGCAAAATTCCCTAAATTAACAAATCCTTTAAGGAATTCTTACTCAACCCTACACTTAATTCTATTTTTCTAACCCCTGTTAATAAAACTGAAGTGGCCTGTATATTAAACTCATTTAAAGTCAATAAATCACCCGGTATTGATAATTTTCATACCAAAGTCATTAAACATGTTGCCAACTTCATCACTAAACCCATTATGTCATATTTTTAACCTTTTAATTTCCAAGTCTTTCCTAAAAGAATAAAGCTAGCCTGTGTTACACCAATTTTTAAATCTGGACCTAAATCTGATCTTTCAAATTATCGCCCTATTTCAATCTTATCAATTTTCCCAAAAGCCCTTGAAAAAATTATCTACGACAAAGCTCTTAAATTTATTACAAAATTTAATATACTTTATGACAGACAATTTGGGTTTAGAAAAGGCTACAAATACATCCCTTGCTCTTACTGACCTCACCAATAAAATTGTCGATGCATTTGAGAATAGCTAGTTTACTATAGTAATTTTTATTGACCTCTCCAAAGCATTTGACACAATTGACCACAATATCCTTTTATTTAAACTTTCTCACTATGGTATCCGCAATCCAACCCTTAATCTTTTTCGAAGTTACCTCTCCAACCGTTTACAGTGCACTAAATATTGTAACACCATCACCAGTTTTCGCCAGATTATTTGTGTTGTCCCCTAGGGATCCTTATTGGGCCCTCTTCTATTCCTTTTATATATTAATGATATTCACTTGTCTTCCAACCTTATTTTTTTTCTTTATGCTGACGACACTACTATTCTATATTCTAACAAAAATATCCATTCCTTATTCAATACTGTTAACTCTAATTTAATGGCACTGTAAAGAATTGGTTCCATTCTTATATTAGTAATAGATCTTGCAGGGTTCGTGTCAGGGATGCCTTGTCTGATAAAGTTCGTGTTAATTTCAGAGTCCCTCAGGGCTCTGTTATTGGTCCTCAGCTTTTCTCTTTGTACATTCATTGCGTTGGTGACATTATCCGTCGGCATTCAATTTTGTATCATATCTATGCTGACGATGTTCAGCTGTACCTATCTTTTAACCCAAACACCCCTGGTGACGCTGCTTGCTGTTTATTCAGATTATCTAAATGCGTCACCGATTTACAATCCTGGTTGATCCATAATAAACTGAAATTTAACAGTGGCAAAACTGAATTCTTCATTGCTTCTTCAAATTATCCCTATAAAATCCTTGATAATCTTGTCTTCTATTTTGACGGTAACATTATTAGACACTCACCAACTATCAGAAATCTCGGGGTTGTTTTCGACCATGAAATGAATATGACTGCTCATATAACACACCTTTCTCGGTCCATAAATTGGCAGATTCGTTGTTTATCCTGCATCCGCAAATTTCTTGATTTTGAAACCTGTCATAATGTTTGTGCCCTATTACTCTCCAGGCTTGACTACTGTAATTCACTACACTATGGTATCAGTAAATATAATTTAAGTCGTATTCAGAAACTTCAAAATAAGTGTGCTCGCCTTGTATGTTGCAGACCCAAATATTGTCACATCACTCCTCTTCTTAATCATCTCCACTGGCTTCCAGTGTCACAGAGAATCCTGTTCCGCATATTAGTTCTGACATTTAATACACTGCAGTCCTCCAATCCTAGTTATATCTCCTGCCTGTTGATTTTCTTAACCTCTACCTATTCTCTCCGTTCTGTTTCCGGTTCCTGTTTATCTGTTCCCAAATCCAACAAACTTTCTGGTGATAAATCTTTCTCTTCCTCTGCTCCAAAACTGTGGAATAATCTTCGTATTTCCATCCGAAATGCTTGTAGTACTGAAGTCTTCAAAAAACTCTTAAAAGCTCATTTATTTCCTAAATAATCCTCTTCCTACAATAAACCTTTTCTAAGCGCCTTGTATCCTTTGGCAAAAGGCGCTATATAAATTTCTATATTATTATTATTATTATTATAATTTAATTTCCATTTCTCAATATTTTGCCGCCAACAAACTTTCAATCAATCACGAGAAGTGTAGCTTCATCCTGTTTCGAAGCCCCAAAAAATCACAAACTCTCGATATTTCAATTTTCAAAATTTATATTGTTATTCATGAAATTCCAAATACCCAATTTGCTAAGTTCTTAGGGGTTTATCTTGACAGTGGATTAAATTGGAGAAAATCAAATCAGCCAAATTGAAAATAAAGTATCCAAAAGGCTTGGTATTATTTCTAGGTTATCCTCATATGTTCCCCCAACGTTCTTCGTATTCTTTATTTCTCCCTTATTCCCCTCTTTCTGAGTTACTGCATCGTTGTTTGGGGGAAACACCTACCCTTCCAACTTATGTAAACTTCAAATCATTCAAAGGAAGGCTATCAGGATTATGTCTGGCGCTCCACCATTTTCTCACTGTTCTCCTTAATTTTCTAATCTCAATTTTCTAAAATTCGCTGACATTAACTCCCTTCAGCAATGTCTATTTATGTACGCCTCCAATCACGGTCACTTACCAACTCATTTCTGTAACATTTTCAAATCCAATTACTCCTTTCATAATTACAGTACACGAAGTAGCTCCAATATTCGTATACCCACCCACAGAAACAATTATTTCTAGTATAATATTAGATTTTTGGGCCCTAAATTTTGGAACTCGTTACCCTCTCATTTAGTCAAAGCATCTTCCATTGACATTTTTGCTAACCAATTCAAAAAACACTTATAGCTCTGTATTCCACTTTTTTTGGTCTGTCGGTCTGTTTTGGATTTGTTTTGAATGTTTTGTCTTTTTTTTGTCTCTGTCATGTGCTGTCTCTTTTGATTTTATCTTCTTTTTTTCTGGCTGTCCAATCACAAGATTGGTTATTTTTTTATCTTCTCGGGTCTTGCCATCTTCCTTACTCTTGTCTTTTTAATTTTCATGATCAATTTTGTGCATTTTCAATTTATTTAAAAACCATTGTATTATTTATCTCTGGAAGGAAGTAAAATAAATGTTGAATTGAATTTAATTGACACTGGGCCTACGGTTTAAAGTCCTTATCCGAAAAGCCTTGTTCCACCACCAGCACTATACCATATTTGTCGGCTAAATTTTTTAATTCTTGCACTTATTAACACGTTTTCTTTTTAACTTTAAAAGCAAAAATTACGTTTGAACAACGAACATTGACAGTTGGATTAGGAGAGAACGTAGAAATAGTTATGACCACAAACCAACCAATGACTGATCTACGATGGACTCATAACTACGGTGACGTCATCTCAAAATGGAACGGAAGTTCGACAATCAAAATTGAAAATGTAAGAAAGCAAGATGGCGGTGTTTATGAATGTTATCAAGATGAATATGGAAAAGATGGAAACCATGGAATAATGAGACTCATTGTTAGAGGTAATGGAAAATATAATCCTATAGGTTTTATTTGACTGGCTATATAGTACATACTAGACTTCTACAATGGAGTCTAGTTGCATCTTCTTATATTTCACAGTTTGTCATATGATATATAGATATCATGATAAGATATCATTATGCTAGTAATTTAAACTTATTAATGCATAATGTCTCATTGAAGCGTGTCCTTCTCCAAAATGGAACCCTCCTTCATGTGAACTTGACTGTCCCGTATGTTACAATGGCGGTGTATGTGATGACATAACTGGTCTATGCATATGTCCGGCAGGATTTAAAGGAGCCAACTGTGAAATAGGTGAGTATAGCCCGAGAGTGAAATAAACTGGTCTTACCAAAGATCAGGGGTGGCGCCAGGGTTTGCTCGACGGGGGGCCAGGTCCCCGAGGGAGGGGAGGGGTGGGCGACGCCCCCAATAAATGGTCATATTACCCAGACATAAACCAAGTGGGCGTGGTCAAGCTTCGATTGAAGGGCTTTGAAAGCATACATACCTATTATTTAAATGGTAATGGTGATATGCTTATATAACGAGTAATACAAAATGGTCTCTGTGCGCTAACAAACCACAACCAAAGTGCAAAAAAAAAAAAAAAATCAAAAACCAAAAGAAAAGAAATCGATTTCAGAATTAAAGTTAAGTGAAAAGATGAGATATGAGCCAAGATTGAAGACAATCAAAGATGGAGAGTCACGTACAGTCTCAAGTAGCTGGTTCCAAAGCTTTGGAGCAGCATCAATAACAGAAGGATCGCCGCAAGTGTTTATGTGACCAATGGGACAGTTGTAAACGGTAGATGAAGATGAAGTAGACCAAAGTCTGCGGGTGCAAACGGCAGAACGCAATGACGTAAGATTGGAGATATAGTGGGGGATGATTTATGGAGTGACTTTTATACAAATAACAAGATCTTGAAGTTAATTCTCAGATGAATGGGTAACCAATGAAGACGATGTTGAGTTGGGGATATGCTCACGCTTAGGAACCAGAGCAATGATTCTGGCTGCTACATCTAACTGGATTTGTAATTTTCTTAGCAGTTACCATGACAGGCAATTAAGAACACTATTTGCAATAATCCAATTGAGATGTAACTAAAGCATGGACAAGATTGGAAGTAGCACCTTGATTGAGTATGTCTTACCTTACTGATGTTGTGGGGGTGGTACCTAACAGCTTTGCAAGTACAGTATCAAATATGTGTTTCTCTATAGATAGTGATTGGTCAAGAGTCAAACCAATAGTTCGTACTTCTGTAGATTTTGAGATTGAAATATTGTCAAATTTAAAGGTGAAAGAAATATTGCCACGGAAAGAAATACTATGTACAACTTTACAGCTAAATGGAGTAAAATAGTAGATTTTATCTGAATTTTCCTTGGGTTTATTTGTATCAAAAGAATAACAAAAAATGTATTCAAAAGAAGGTTGTAAATTGCTGGGGTTTGTTTATGTGATGTTTGTTCATTCTTTAAAACGTACGGTGGAAAATGAGGCATCTTCTGTTTTTATGGAGACAGGTGTAAAATCATTATGGATTGGCTTTTAGAGTTGGTGGAGTTGGGCGGTGCGACAGAGGGTTGTGCTGGGTCGTGGGTCGGTTGTTTCAGGGGTGGGTCCGATTGGTCGAGCTTGCTTGTGGTTCTCTGGGTTGTTTAATGCGAAGGATTAGCGGCGTGTCCGGATAGTGTGATTGGTCTGGGATCTAGTATACATTTCCTGTGGCATTGCCTCAATCCCCCAAGTTTAAAAAAAAATGTTTAAAAAAAATTATGCTTAAAAGAAGGTCGTAATCGTCTGGGATTTGTTTTCTTATATGTCTGTAAAAAAGGGATTGTTGTATTAAAAGTATACATTAAAAAAATCTGTAAAAAGATGTTAAAAATTATTTGTTGCATACTTCTGGAGATTTCTTTTTTACATTATACTTGATTGTTAAAGTGCCTTACCAAGATGTATTTTTAAAGATGTTTTGTCCTTGGAAATTTGAGGTTTGCATGGGATAAGGCATCTTTTTGTTTTTTTCTTAAATTCTGAATGTCTGATAGATAGAGGGCGCCATGTAGTGAACAGTATATTTGAATTCTGGTTCATTGGATTGAAGTAAAATTTCAATTTTGGCCTCAATTGTTGCTATTTTATAGTGATTGGAAAGAATGTAAGTGAAAGGAAGATTTAAAGTTTGGTATGGCTAAAGATTAAAAAAAATAGTTCGGTATTGTATGCTACTTTGTCGATGCCAATTGTTAGCCCCTCTACACCGTTTAATTTTTAAACGGATCGTTCGTAGCTTGTGAACGTTCAATCGTTGTGATCGACTGCCTAGGTGTTTACGGTACCATGGCGACGGGACGCGCTAGTATGCACCAATCAACTCCGGAAATATTGATCCCAGGGGATGGAACGAACACTGGCAATGATGTTGGTAATCCATTAAGTCAATTTATTATTGTCATTTACGAACTACTTTTTTTTTTTATATTAAACAACATGGGATCGATGACGTATGATCAACTCCATCATATATGCTTGACCTACTTTACTGAGGAAGATATACGACTTGCCAAACAGAAGTTGTGTCTGTATGTTACTGATCGTGAGGATAATGTTCATAGGCCAAGGAGAAAAGCAGAGTCAATGTTATCTGACATACTTACGTATCTTGTCAATTGCGATAAATCAACGATTCCTACCTTTACGGCTGCAGATCTCTCAAAAATTCCAATTGTGCCTATTGACAAAATAGATGCAACTATGTTGTACCGGGAGCTACAAAAACTGAGATCCGAAATCCAGGTTATTAAAGCGGACCTATCATTTTCAACTGTGCAACGACGAAAACGATGTTGTTAGTCAACAATTGGAAAGTAATAAATCCCGAAGTCGGCCAGCCAAGGTCGTAAGCAATGACAATCGTTCGTTCGCAGAGGTTGCTGGTGCTAATACAACAACTACTAGTCATAATCAAAACAACATGATAAATGACAAAGCGTTTGTGCGGCCAGCGGATAGATTACGTAAGAGGAAAAATCCCTTCAAGGGTAAGCGACGACAGATCGTGAGCGTTGATCATAACTCCGAGTCAACGTCTTTGTATGATGATTCCGGTGAGTTAAATGATAAACTCAATGATGGTTTTGTCTTCCAAAGAAAATCTAAGCATAGGCGCTCTAAATTAACTCGAGGCACTGGTGTCAACATAGCGTTAAAAGGTAGAGCACCGCCACCTTTTAAGTTGTATCTTGGGAATATATGGCCGGAAACAAGAGCAGAGGACGTCACAAAGTATATCAAGCAAGCAATAGACATAGATGTTATTGTGGAGGAACTCCCTAGTAAAGGTTCTGATTATGTCTCGTTTAAAATACAATGTGAATTTGATCATAAGAATTTATTAGTTGAAGCTAGTCTATGGCCCCGATCTGCCATTATAAAGAGGTTCTATGAACCTAAGAAAAACAAACCCGAAGATGATGGATGGAAATAATTCAATTACGTTAGATATTTTAAGGTGTGTTACATTTAATTGTAAGAATTTTAAAACTTCTGAAAAAGAAATCTTCGACTTATGTTGCAAAAATGATATTATAGCCCTCCAAGAGCACTGGCTTTTACAAGAGGAGCTTCATATTTTAAAATCTTTTCATAATGATTTCGATTGCATATCGGTCTCTGGTATTGATAGCGGTGAGGGTATCCTCATTGGTAGGCCTTTTGGTGGTTTAGCTCTTTTTTACAGAAAGTCATTATATAATTTTGTTAAACCTCTTTACCTTGAAGATAAAAGGCTTGTGGGTATGCAAGTAGGTGAAGGTGACGACTGTACTATGTTGATAAACGTTTACTTACCATATGATAAAGATGATAACTTAAATGAGTACATCGACTATCTTGGTTAAATTAGTCCTTAATCGATGACTTTAATGGACACAGATTTCGTTATAGTGGGAGACTGTAACTCTGACTTAAATAAGAAATTTGGTAGGGAATTATTGAATTTTACAACGGATTGTAGCTTACACATATCCGATATTGAGTTTTTCAGTGATTACATTTTCGAATTGTCTGACAACTTTACGTTCTTTAGCGAGGCACACGGAACCACAAGCTGGTTAGACCATGTCGTCTCATCACATGGTGCGCATGTTTACCTTAGTAATTTTAATATTGATTATAACTCATTGAGTTCTGATCACTTTCTATGCACTTCAATAATGGAATTCCTAATCTCAGAGGCAGAGCAAAGAATGTTCCTGTAAATAGCTTAAATAATGAAGATATTAATTTTTTGGTTAATTGGAATAAAGTAAACAGGAATTCGTTAAATAATTACACGTCTACTACCGATGAAATGTTATCCAATGTATGTATTTGCCACAGTATGGTTTCTTGCAACGATTTTAATTGTAAAAATCCTAACCATTTAAATGCAATTGATCAATTATATCATGAAATTATTAATTGTTTAAAGGAAGCCTCAAATGAGTGTTTCCATTCTAAGGCCAAGGGTAGCAACGTTAATATTGTTCCGGGATGGAACAAGCATGTTGCGGACTTGCATCATATTGCAAGGGATGCTTTTCTGCTATGGAGAACCAATGGTAAACCAAGATTTGGTCCACTTTTTGAATGTATGAAAAATACAAGGTCTAGATTTAAATTAGCGTTGAGGCTTTGGAAGTCAAATGGAGAACAATTTCGAGCAGATTCTATGGCAAACTCTCTAAACGATAAAAAGTATGATAAATTTTGGGAATCCGTTCGACGTACTAATGCGCATAAATCATACACCTCTGAAGTAATTAATGGAGTCAGGGGCAATGTTAACATATGTAATAGCTGGGCCGACCATTATGAGCATCTGTTCAACTGTGTAACATCAACTGATCGAAAGCAGCATGTTAACGATAAACTAAATTACATAAATGATCATTATAAGGATTATCATATAACTCCTCAAATTATCCAGAATTTTATCTCAAAGTTGTCTTTAGGAAAATCGCCTGGCTTAGATGGCATCGATAGCGAACATCTTAAGTATGCTGGTGGAAAAATTAATGTTTTATTAAGTTTCTGTTTTAACGCTATGCTTGTGCATGGGTACATTGTTAATGACTTTGTTGAAGTTGTCCTTATTCCGATTGTAAAGAATAAGTTAGGTGACGTCACGTCAACAAATAACTATCGTCCAATTGCATTAGCCTCTGAGTTGTCCAAACTGTTCGAGCTTATACTGGTCGATTTCTGTAAAGATAATCTTGAAACTGACTATCATCAGTTTGCTTTTAACCCCAATC